GAAATGGAGAACCATTAAGCACCGATTCTGTGCCCAGGGTTTGAACAAATCCAGGTGTAACGGAGAGAAGCCTAGCTTCACAGACTAAGGTTGAAATGAGGACACTGAGAAGTGCCATTGCACGAGTAACATGGTTCATATAATGCAAGTCATTTTTACTAGGATATGAGTTATGTTCTCAACTCTAATGAAAACAAATAATTTGGTGTGAAGATTTGTGCCATGCTTGTTTAGTATTTATAGACGTGAAATTGGGCTAGCTAGGGAGATTGAGAATTTGAGATGGAGATCATGGAATTCAGCAAATAATGTTAAAACAATATTAAAAATAAAAAGGAGGGCATTTTCATCAAGGTATGTGTTAGTTGCAAAAAAGACATGGACACCGTAGTGTAAGTTACGGAATCTAGTTATAGTTTCTACTTTCTAAAGATCATATGATTAGAAAAAGCCCAGTGGTTGATTGATACTAGGGGCAGAGACGTTTGGAATTAATATATTTATTCAAGTGGCGTTTTTCCTTTTTGGTGACGTTCCTCCCCTTATAGGAATTTAACTGCATTCAATTTCGACGAGAAATATTTTTTGACACTTGACAGTTTTTCCATTTTCGAAGAAATCCAAACCCCTTGTGTTGTGTCAGTTGCATGTTTCTTTCCTCCAAGTTGTTACTCGTTACACTGTTTTCTTCTCTTTGTTCTTTTATCCTATTGGCGGGTGTTGAATTGTTTAGTCTTACAGTCAACAGTTACATCCAAAGGGTACATATCTTTTTTTTTTCCCCTGAAAATAAATTCAACCAGTTAATGTGAGACATCTCAAGATTAAAAATTATTTTAAATAGCGAATACTTGATATGAATATTATGATTAAAAAAGAATTATTATGTTATTGCAAATAATTGTCTTGTGCCATTGGTTGCTAGTACTATGGTATCCATATGGGTATTAATATTAAATTAGTGAAATATGGTGTGCAATGGATCCCATTAGTTTTTTTTATCACTATCTCTATCTCCATGCGCATGTTGTATGAATATTTAGACAATACTCACAAAGTCGTGCGCATGAAATGGAGAGTGTGCCTAGTGACCCATGTTTCTCGTCACACCTGTGCGGATTTTATGGCCATTTTAGAATAGGAGTACACAACAAACTAAGCAACTATATGTATTTGCAAATATTCGTCCTCTCACTTTTATCACACTCCATTCACGTCTTCTCTTTGCTTATTTTTCATATCACAACAAATCAAAAATACATGGATAATATTATTATTTCTACTTAAACTTCACGCCACACTTTTTCTTCTACTACTTACAGTTTTATTTAGATCACTCCAAATTCTAAGCTTATTTTAATTAATATTTGACAAAAATCAGCCATCCATCAACTAGTGGTTTTTTAAAGGTTAATAGCAAAACAGTTGAACTTTCAATTGTATAATAAGCCAGATTCGTAATGAAATCACATTTCCTTCCAGTGCCATACATTTGCGAATCTCTTAATATTTTTTTGGTTCCGTGAAGGAAAGTTTTACTTACGAATGCAATGGAGGAAAATGGGATGGATTTTTGAACCTGCATCTGCATGTATCATAATCATAGTATAATTAACGAATTCTGGGTCCATATTTCGTCAGTGACAAAAACAAAACGTCTCTTCTCGTATCTCTAACCTTATCATCTATTGAGTGTTTGGCAGAATTCAGAAAGAAATAATGCATATACATGCCACTGTGATGCGAACTACTCTCAATTATTTAAAAACATTCACTCCTCAATTGTTTGAAAGACATGATTACATAGCGATAAGTGAGGTTGATGTAAATGTTAATAGTATCGTGTTCAAATCCTCAATGTCATAGACTCATAATTGTATTAAATATTTAGATGAATGACTTTTTTATTTCCAATTATCTTACTAGTTCGAGCATGAATATTTACATTGAAAAAATACTTGTATAGTCTTTAAGAATAAATATGCTTTTTATCCTTATAAGAGAATTACTATAGAGTTAAAGAGAAAAAATAAATAAAGACAAGGTGAAAATTTTAAAGAAGTAATATATATCTAAAAATGTAATTTGCTCTACAATAATATTATTATATAAAATTGTTACAACTTTCCTCTAATTTTTTTTTTCCAAAATAGAAGTCAGTTTATTCAACTATTTTTAATCAATAAAAGGATTGTAAATATATTAATAATAAGATTTTATTTATAAATTAAATATGATTAAGTATGGAATGAAATTATAGGCAAAAATTATATTTTATCTTATTAAATAAAGTTGGAAAACCTCTCCCGTCCCGGCTACCCAAAAAAAAAAAAGTGTTCAAATCTTATTATATATAAAGTTGTTATGTTAGAAATTTTTTTCTTCTTTACATCTTATTATATAAAGTTGTTAATATTGGAATAACTTTCCCTCTTCCAAAAAGTTAGACCAAAATAAAAGATAATCCAATCAACTATTTTTTAGTCAATAAAAAGATTATAAATATATTAATAATAAGATTTTATTATAAATAAATTAAAGTTAATTATGGAATATTATTATACAAAGTTATTAAACATTTTCCTCCAAAAAAAAAAGTCAACTAAATTTGAGAGATTATTCAATTAACTATTTTCTACTCAAAACAAGAGATTAATAATAAGATTTTATTTATAAATTGATTATAATTAATTATGGAATGAAATTATAGAAAAGAATAATTGTACATATTTTGGTCTATATTCATTATATTTATTCAATTTCAAGTGAACTTTTATTTATTAAGTTTATTAAATCAAAAAACAATCATAGATCTCTCATAATATAAGTTTTAATGACAATAAACATATATGTTTTCTCAAGAGAACAAGTTTTAAAGATTATGCCATAAGATGAATTATAATGGACAATTGGTTATATTGCCATCAAGTCTCTCAAACAAATTACTTCGTTTGTAAGGCAAAGCCAAATAATATATGTCATTTATGATGTATGATAACTAAATTATATTTGTTTATGTTATTTCTTGACAAATTGAAAGAAATAAAAAGCTTTTGTGGTGCTCGCACTGCAAAAAGGAATACCGACATGTTTTGCATTAGAAAAAGGACAAACAAATCTCTTAAAACATGTGAAGTTAAAAAAAAAAAAGTTGTTTGGCTGATACATGCAACAATTCCTCCCATTTGGTACTAAGGTGATAAGTAGTAACCTCAATAAAATAAAAAGTGATAATTTGGTGAAATGTATTTTGTACTCACATTTAGTACTTCAATGAACACGTCTCTTCACATATGATGAAGGTGAAGACAAAATATGTTAGAATAGTGGATTAAGCCTAACTCAACCCTACAAAACCGGCTTGTAAGGTGAGGGTTGCTCTCCACTTATATACTATTTAATTGCCTAATCTCTAGTCGATGTGGGACTTGGGTTTTTCCCAATACACCCCCTCACGTCCAGCACTATTGGGCTTGGTACGTGGATAAATGGTAGGTGGCCCTTTTTAATGATCTAGGATTGGCGGGACTTGAATACACCCCCTCATGTCCATGGTGCATGTAGCAATGAATGGTAGGTGGCCCTTTTCTAATTGACGGGACTTGAAATACACCCCCTCATGCCCATGGTGCATGTATCAATGAATGGTGGGTGGCCCATTTTTAAAGTGGATCTAAATGGCTCTGATACCATGTTAGAATAGTGGATTAAGCCTAACTCAACCCTACAAAACCGGCTTGTAAGGTGAGGGTTGCTCTCCACTTATATACTATTTAATTGCCTAATCTCTAGTCGATGTGGGACTTGAGTTTTTCCCAATAAAATAAACAAGTTTGTGAAAGATGCTCAATGGTTTGCAACATTCATCCTCATGAAACACGTATATAAAGAAACATACAAAATTAGAAAGTGTGAGAGACCATTAATTGTAAAAATTTTATACTTTTTTTTTGTTGTAAAAACTATGTACTTAGTCTAATTTTATCACATATTGGTAGTAAAATAAAATAATAAAGTGATTTTTGAACTTTAACATTGTGTTATTACTTTGAGCCTTAAAAGACTTGATTACAAAATAATACTTGATTGTTGAAATTTACAGAAATGTTGTGTTTAAATAATTCATTATTGTTGAAGTTTGGAAAGATTTTATGATAAAAACTAGGCATAATTTCAATAATTGGAAGAAACTGATATAAAATATTGTGTGTTATTTTTTCTCAACTCTTAGTCTACATTCACTAGGCTTTGTAGCTACTTCATTATTTTGAAAAAGAGTTGAATTTTTTTTATTAATATTATTCAATTTCTCTCTTAGTATCTTTATTTTTTCGATAGATTGTTATAGTAGATTTTGAAGTTTTAATTATCTCAGTTAGTACCGTTTTAATAGTCTTGTTGATAAAGAAATTTGAATTATAATAATTTATTGTTACACAAAATTTTATTATATAAAGTAGTTAACGTTTTAACAATTATTTTCCCAAAAAATGTTAGTCCATATTGGGAGATAATTTAGTTAGTTATCTTCTACTAAAAAAAATATTAATACATAACTAATGTTTTTACTTATAAATTAATTACAATTAATTATTGAATAAATTATAGACAAAAATAATTATTTTAAAAAGTATTGTTCATGATGTTGTAGCAACAAGTTTCAGAGTATTATTAACATTATTATTTAGTAGTTTTGTTGATAAAAAAATTAATTATATTTATAACTCTTATTATTACTTTGAACTTTTAATTTTAATTTTTAAAATAATAAAAATATTGAGTTTATCCGGTACATGATGTGTATGTACTAGTGTTTCCAAATCTATTAAGTCGAATATTGCCTTGGCCGGTTCAATTTGACTTTTAATAAGGTGAACAACAAGGTTTGGCCCATAACGATAATTGGACCACGCAAGCAGGCCCAAAGGTTTGGGCCATCTTAACAGAAACAGTGACTCAGACCGGAAAAAGCACTCGCTGCATTAAACGGCAATTTTATCTATTTCATTTCTACGTGTTTTCCCGGCTTCGAGTAAAAGCTCATCAACCATGGCGCTTAAAACCCTATCCACTTTCCATTCACCACTTTCTCTCCCCAACCCCAAATTCCTCTCCACCAAACCATGCCTCATTCTATGCGAGTTCCCGCGCTCTCACAACTCGCGTTTACCCGCCGCCGAATCCGATGGCACCGGCGCCGCCGCTCCTTCGCCGGGCGAGAAGTTCCTCGAACGCCAGCACTCCTTCGAGGCTGCGAAGCTCATTCTCAATGAGAACACGAAGAAGAAAAAGAAGAAAGACAACGCTCTGAAAGCTTCCAGAGCCGTCGCTTCATGCTACGGCTGCGGCGCTCCGTTGCACACCTCCGATGTCGACGCTCCTGGCTACGTCGATCCCGAGACCTATGAATTGGTATTGCTTTAGCCTGATTGGAATTTTGGAAGTATCGTTATGCATTGTCATCATTGGCTGTTGCTGATTTTGGAAACACTTATTGTGTTGTTGCAGAAGAAGAAGCACCGCCAGCTTAGAACCGTTCTGTGTCGGCGATGTCGGCTTTTGTCTCATGGAAAGATGATAACCGCTGTTGGAGGACACGGAGGCTACCCTGGCGGTAAAATGTTTGTTACTGCTGAAGAGCTTCGAGAAAAGTTGTCTCACTTGCGTCACGAGAAAGCGCTAATTGTCAAATTGGTAAACTAACCGGTGCAATGTTTTCTTTAAATGGATAGATTGAACGAATCACATTAGGAAATTATAATTGGTTACGTGTAGAATTAGTGTCTTGAATGGGAACCGTGGTGAAACTGAATTCCTTTGCAATTGTATTTAGCTTAGGTGTTTTAGAATTTTTGTTACAAGGAAGCATTCAATTAATAAATTGATGGATTGTTAGTGAAATTTTTGACTTCCCTACATTCAATTTATTGTGTGAAAACTAGAAGCTTGTTGCTTATGATACAATATGTAGCATTTTAAATCGTGAGGATGGATATTACATGAAACATATTTTTTAGCAACTGGATAGCAGATGGTTTATAAACACTTTCTTTATGCTTGTATGTGTAAGCAATTGTTCTTATGCCACAAATTGTACTTGATGAATAATCTGAGTTGACTTTGGATGCTAAGAAGCTGATAAATAATAAAGTTTATGCAAACAAATTGAGGGTTAGAGTTAAAACTGGCTCTCATTTTATTCAGTGGAATAATATGTCACCTGGGACATTTCAATTATCATAGAAGATTTCATGGATTCTGTTTTAGTTAAAGTGTCTTTTGTTTATTACCAATTAATGATAGTGACTGGAAGGGATAAAGCTTCTTCATCTAACTTGTTGAAGTAACCTCTGCTAGGTTGATATTATTGACTTCAATGGAAGTTTTTTGTCTCGTGTGAGAGATCTTGCTGGTTCTAACCCAATAATACTGGTGGTGACTAAGGTACTAAATAATATGGCCGCAGGTTATTATTGTTTTAAATAGGATTTTTTCTTTACTGAATGTATTGATAGGATTTAAGTTTACAAATATACAGTTTTCACATTTAACAGAATGTCCTCTTTGTAGGTCGATCTTCTTCCAAGGGATACTGATCTTAATTGTATTGGGGATTGGGTTGTAGAGGCTACCACGAGAAAGAAGCTGAAGTAGGTATCTTCTTTGTAATAAAATAGTTATTTACTAATTGGTGTCATTTTTTTTCAATTATATATTATCAGAAGTTCAGAATGAGAAAGCACTTGCATAATTGCACACGTTTGTTATCAAGCATTGCTTTAGATGAGCAAAATACAAATCATATAATTTACTTTTATTATGTGTAACAAAGGAAAACTTTATAACCTAACTTACCAAATTTTAAATGCTGATGACATTCATTGCAGTGTTCTCAGTGTCCATCTGACCAGTTCCAAATCATTGGTTGGAATAACTGGAGTGATATCAGAAATCCAAAAAGAGAAGAAGGTTCTTTTCTGCTTATTGGGTTACCTTTTTCTTTTTAACTGATTTAAGAGGTTCTTTTGGGAAACTTGTTGATTCATTTCCATTTAATTTTATATGTAAGATGGCTTAAACCTTGTTATCCATATTTATGAGAGTGATGAATCAGTACTGCAAATGTTATTATACTTATGAGTGATGTTGGTCATCGTTTGGTTATAATTTGAAATCCTTTTTTTTTAATTGAATTTGTCATATGCTGTAGGTGCAGTTGCTGTAGCTTTTAGACATTTTAAGCAGGATACTTGTGTGGCTGTTCTCATTTCTAATTTGTTTTTCCTCTTGTCAAAAGCATTAAAAAAATATCAACTACAGTAATGATGATTAATTATGTTTTAGTGTAATATGCATTCCGCATTGCTCAAAAACATGTGATATTAGGATACACAAAGCACAAAAGAGCAAATGTCATGACGACTTGGATTTGATGAATCTTTATTTGAGCTTTTAAAGTAAATTATATAATGTTCAATTCACATGTTAGTACTGTTGACTTCTTTTTCTTCTTATTTTTCTCTCTACTGAAATTCCATTTTTTTTTATTTTTATTTTTTATTTGTAGGGAAGAGATGTGTACATTCTGGTAAGTCTCTGAATTGGAAGTTTGATATGCTTAAGAAGGTGATGATGACGCATGAGCTGATGTTCCTACATTGATGTTTTTGTTGAATTCTCAATGGAATTTTTGTACTTGTGACATCTTTGGTCTATCTCATTTGCATATAACAAAAGATCCAGATAGTAAATTGCATTTTTTTCCTTCGTATTTTTCATTCCTATTGTAAAACATTACTCATGTACTAGTCTAAATTTCAGTTCCCACATTTTGGAAGATGGATGGCTTATTGTCTAAGTTAAAGTACAAAATCTTACATTTTCCTGATTGTGTGTTTATGAATAGTTTTTCCCCCTTTAGTCATTAAGCTCTGAAATTCATTAGTTGGGCCTGGAAATCAATCAATTATAATTTTTATTTTACAGGGTTCAGCTAATGTTGGGAAATCTGCTTTCATCAATGCTTTACTAAGTAAGTTCTATTTCCATGCAATCCTAACTAATTTTTAGGACTAGGCTTATTCGTTTTCAATGATTGCAAAATTTCTGAGTGCTAAAATTTCTTTTATTATGTTGAATTCCTGTGTTGTCTTGTACAGATTTTGGTATTAGTTTTTGCATTTACTGTCATTGTTTGCATTGTGCTTGAACACTTTTGTTCCTTGGATGCTGAGCCATGCAAACATTAGTTGTTTTGAAGTGGTAGCCAACAGGTTAAACACATCATGTATATCATATAAAACAATGTAGGTTTGTGTTATGCGTATGATATAATGATATAGAGCAGCTATTTAAAAATTATTTTTTCCTTTGGCTTTCTTCTGTCAAATCTGTTTTTACATAGCTCAAATGGTAGATGTTTTGAACTTTTTATGGAATTGTCTCCGTTAATTATATCTTCATCTCTTGTTGTGCCCATCATTTAGGCAATTTCAACTTTTCATGTATGATGTACGTTCTTTTCTCCAACTTGACTTTTTAACATTTGATGTCAGAAACAATGGCTATAAATGATCCTGTGGCTGCATCTGCACAAAGGTACAAACCAATACAATCTGCAGTTCCTGGAACTACCTTAGGGCCAATTCAAATTAATGCTTTCCTAGGAGGAGGGGTATGTCTTTCTGATTTATATATTTAGGCAGCTATTTAACCTTATGTTTTTATTTATCTAATAATTTGTTTATTTATTCGTAACTTATGCAGAAATTGTATGATACTCCTGGAGTTCATCTCTACCATAGGCAAACTGCAGTTGTTCATTCTGAAGATCTACCCTCCCTTGCTCCTCAAAGCCGACTGAGGGCCCGGTCTTTCCCAGTATGTTATGTTCAAAACTGTTTTAAGACATTTTACCATCATAATAGGTAATGCTAACTTCGCCATTGTTATTGCTAGAGTTCTCTAGTATCTTCAGGCAATGTAGAGGAAGAAGAGTCTTCCACAGTGAATGGCTTGAATGCTTTTTCAATATTTTGGGGAGGTCTTGTTAGAATTGATGTCGTGAAGGTTTTGATTACATACTTCCAACTTTTGCATTTTGTCATAGGATCATTCATTTATAATTCACTCCCTTTTCCTTGTCTAAATAATGTCATCAGTCCTGATAATTTCAGGTTCTTCCAGAAACTTGTTTGACATTTTATGGTCCCAAGAGACTACCGATTCATATGGTGCCCACAGAGCAAGCAGAAGAATTTTATCAGGTATTGTGATTCAATCTGTTTAGATTAACTATAAGAGACTAAACTTGATGTTGTTGCTTACATCTGGCCTAAACTGGTATAATTCATAAAATACTTGAGCTGTTTGTTCTTGCAAAGTTGAGCCACTGGGTTTATATTCAATTATAAGAATCATTGGAAAATTATTGTTGCCTCAGTTTTACTGTGTAATTAAAAAAATTGAGAATTCCAGTTTATGATGGATTTATTGCCATCAGTTTGTAGTTTTTCTGCTTCTGTTAATAATTGAACAAAAAGAACAGTATTTGGTGCTACTGCTTCATTGCTGCTATAGTTTCATATGTTTTGTTGTCTAATTAGAGGTGAAGAAGCTATTTCATTTCTATAAGTATTATATAGCTTGCGTCAACATACTTGGGTGGAATTTATAACTATTTCTGTATATGAAGTGTTGCATTAGACTCTAGGGATTCTCTCTTTTTTCATTCTTTTTCCTCTTGCAAATTGTCTTTATCTATGTTGTCTTGGGCGCTCTCTTTTTGTCACATTTTCAAAATTATGGATCTTACCACCTCTAACCTGAATGAGAGCTTCTCTTTGTTGTCTCAGAGAGAACTTGGAGTTCTGCTGACCCCGCCAAGTGGAGGAGAAAATGCTGAGAACTGGAAAGGACTTGAATCAGAACGTAAATTGCAAATAAAATTCGAAGATGTGGAAAGGTATGACCTAAAGTTAGTTCTGTTGTAGGTACTTTTTAGATGTAAATGGTTTTATTTTGGCAGTCGAATTTTGAAACCTTGTTTAACTTATTCTTTGTGTTGATTGATGAGTCATTGCAGCCAAAAATGCTAACATTTATGAATATTAGTTAAATATGAAATTCCTTGTTATTGTTTTTTGGCAGACCCGCTTGCGATATAGCTATATCAGGTCTAGGATGGTTTACTGTTGAGCCAGTTAGTAGGTCACTAAAAAATTCACAACCAAAGCCTGTAGACACTGCTGGGGAATTGATTTTGGCCGTGCACGTCCCTAAGCCTGTTGAGATTTTTGTGAGGCCACCAATCCCCGTGGGCAAGGCTGGAGCAGAGTGGTACCAGTATGTAGAATTAACAGAGAAAGAAGAGGAAATGAGACCAAAATGGTACTTTTGAACACTGCGTGTTATATGTATTTTTAATTTTTTGGGGGAAAGGAGGATTAGTTTTCATGTTGTACAACTAAGCCAAGACATCATTTCAAAAGGAGGGAAATTTAACGATTGCAAATTAATGATAGCATTTTGCCATTTTCTCTCAATGTGTACTGGGTAGAATGTGGAATGTTTTGAATATTCTTAAATTTTCTCATGTAATAATGGTTCAGTCTCGCTACCGAGGGTGAACCCTTAGGTTTATTAACTTTTCTAATCTTTTAACTTGTTAAAAAGAGTTACAATTGATGGAGTTATTTGTGTAATAATTTGTATATATTAAGTTTCAATAATCTTACGGTTAAATTAAAAGATCATCTAGAATGAATCGAGTCTCATTTTTTTTAATAAGATTTTAAAATCATTTGATATTTTATTAAATAAATCTATTTAATGTATAGTATTTTTTTAAAAAAATATAAGTAATTGATTATAAGATTTCTTAATTATAATTGTCTACTTAATTTAAAATTTGGTATGCTTGATCCTTAAAATAATATCAAATTATGTAATGTCATTATCATTGAAATTCAATACATATACATACATATATATATATATATATATATATATATATATATCACAAAAATGATTCTAAAAAAACTATTAGTTCACTAAAGTAATTTATTAACATGTTGATAAAAGAATATTGAAAATTTAATTTGAATGTATTGACAGTATTTTTTTTTTGCACTATTATCAAGTCATCATGAATTATTATGATAATAATCAGATTTGTAATTTGTCATAGTTGCTTTAAAATTCATTCAATTAGTTGAATTTTTAATTGATTGATAATGTAAAAATATTTATATTGAAAATATAATAAAATTAAACTAAAATCTGTTTACTCCGGTAGGTTTGGGCTACATAGCTAGCATAACTTTTTTTTTTTAATATTTTTTTATTACATCTACAAATCGTTCATAACAAGAAACTCCTTGGATTTGTCATATTAAGGATAATTAATGTATGAACTGACAATATAAATATTTTTTCATTATTGTTGAACTACAAATTCCTATACATGTTAAATTTGTTATTTTTTTTATAATAATTACGTTAGAAGTTATATTCAAGAAAATTTGTGATTGGTGCACAATATAATTTTTTTATATAATGTTTATTAATTTTCTTATAGATTTTGTTAATTTATTTTGAGAACTTGATACAAATTTACGTACTGACATTGTGGATATATTTTGTACCGTAATTTAATAATGAATGTACATGGTAGGGTAATAATTTACTTCTGTAATAATTGCTTCAAAAGTCATTTAAAATGTTTTTGAATAGGTTGATAGTATAAAATCTTTAACCCATTGACAAAGAAAATTTCTATTTTTTATTCATTTTTTAAAAAAATATTTCTATTTATTTTTCTAATTTTGTAATTTAAGACAATATCATTTATTACCTTTTAATTATGTTCTTATCTCTATAATTTTTAAATACTTTACATATTTATGATAAATGAGAAAGAAATGATAGTGAGGTCATTTGAAGTTAAAAGTAATTTTAATGCGAATATATTAATTATATTTTTTTTATAAGTAGAAATTACAATTACAATATTTTTAAAAATTTATTAAGATAAGTGTTATTTTCTTGCGAGGATAAATAAAAATAAAAATAATGAGGAAATAATGATGGAACAGTAAGCAACACGAAGGAATTCAAAAGATGATCCCACATTGTTGGCGGTTATAGTTAGTTATTATTTTGAAATGCATGTTTGGGAAACAGCATGTCTTTATATGAAGAATCGTGTCCAACTGCCTATTTATGAACGTGCGCACTTGTTCATTTCATTTTTGTGTCTCCCTTGTCTCTGCCCAATGGCTCCATCTTCTGTCACTGTCACTTCCCGCTTCCATGAATCCGTCACCCGAAATGCACTTCGTTCCTACTTCGCTGAGTTTATCTCCACTTTCTTCTACGTCTTTCTTGTCGTTGGCTCCGGAATGTCCTCACGTCAGTACCCATGCACTTTCTTTCTTTCTTTCCGTTACTCCATAAATCACATGTTTCTGTTTATTCCTGTATAACGTGTTTCTAACATTGAGCGTTCAATTCTAGACTCGGTAGATAAGTAGTAACAATGCAACTTAGAGAAACGTGAGGGCAGTTCTCGTTTTTAATGCGAACCCATGTGTTCAATCATGTAACTTATACATGTTGTTAATCTTTACAATGTTTGTTGCTTTCTTTTTTCTTTTCCTTTTTTTTTTTAAGTGGAACATTCTGTAAATTACTAATCTTCCCCTGATAGAGCGTTTATGTTTTCTTTTTCATTTTTGTGTGATTTGATAAATTGGTGTTGGAGAATTGACAGGGAAGTTGATGCCGGATGCTTCACTGAACCCAACAAGTTTGGTTGTGGTTGCCATTGCAAGCGCTTTTGCTTTGTCTTGTGTTTTGTACATCGCATGGGACATCTCAGGTGGACACGTCAACCCGGCCGTGACCTTCGCAATGGCAGTGGGAGGCCACGTTAGTGTTCCAACCGCTCTCTTTTACTGGGCCGCTCAACTTATAGCCTCTGTCATGGCTTGCCTTGTTCTAAGGGTCATTGTTGTTGGAATGGTATATATATATTTTTCACCCTTCTTTCCCTTAGCATAATCCACATTTCAATCATAATCCTTTTTTGCTTCTTTACTTTTTTAATATTTCAAATGATGTACATGTTGTTAACTCACTTCCCTTTGATGTTTTGGTTTGTTTCAGCATGTTCCAACGTACACGATTGCAGAAGAGATGACAGGGTTTGGAGCATCAGTGTTGGAGGGACTTCTGACATTTGTTTTGGTGTACACTGTGTATGCAGCGAGGGACCCTAGGCGTGGTCCATTGACTTCCATTGGGACACTTGCGATTGGCTTAATGGCTGGGGCATGTGTCTTAGCCGCAGGTCCATTCTCTGGAGGATCAATGAACCCTGCCTGTGCTTTTGGTTCTGCTGCTATTGCGGGCAGTTTCAGGAACCAAGCAGTGTATTGGGTTGGACCCTTGATTGGTGCCACCGTGGCTGGCCTTCTTTATGACAATGTGCTGTTCCGTTCTTACCCTGCAGATTCAACTAGAGGGGAAGGAATTGGGGTGTAAACTACTCTAGTAATGTTTTGTTTGTTGTGTAAGAATTTGTAGTGTTGAACATTTTATGTTTCTTAACTCTGTTGCGCTGGTAAATATTTCCTAACAACTTGTAGTGACTGAAAATTTAGTATGTGATGTTAGAAGTGTTGATGTGGATGTCGCAACATTTATGCAGTCTGTTCTTTTTATCTTTCCATCATACTATTAATTTTGTCTCGTGATTTTTTTTCTTTTCTTAATATCTTTCTTTCATTATAAAATTTGTTGTGAAAATTTTGAACTAACGCCATCGTTACTTTTTAAACACTCTGATCAGGAGGTACAGCCACTTATTGACATGCTTGTCCACATATTTGAATGAGTGTAAGAAATGTAGGAATGAGAGACAGTGAATGCTCGTAGCTATGTAAATTATTTTACATCGTGCATCAATTAAAAGTGGTCTTCTGAAATTTGTAATTGACTGAAAATGTTAAAAATATATATGTTGTCTGTACATTTCAATTAAAGTAGTATGTAAATGATGAACGTATGCACTTTAAAATTAATTTGTTAGGATGAGATCATAATACTTTTTAATGCTTTTGTTTTGCCCAAATCTTCAGACCAACTCAATTTCGTAAATTTCGTTTTAATGAAATTTACACATCATATTTATAGTCGAATTTAAGGTTTTGTAGGGACAAGTATTATATTCCAGGGAAGCGAAATTGTTCAAATAGCAAAAGTCTAAGATTGGAAACTAGTTGAAGTTAGTTATAGAAGTTGAAAACAAAGATGAACTCTCATGCAATGATAACCGGTAGTTGTTGATATGACTAGCTATAACATTAGACATCGCTTTCATCTTTATTATATAGTTACAGTTCTTTATCCCTTTTAGCCTCATTAATTTGCCCCTCTATTCATTGCAAAACTATCGTTAAAAGTAGCAGTTAACAAAAAAGTCAGCTGAGCTAGTCGTCAATTAATATACCAATCTATATACCCAAACTTGAAATTATTGAACAATAAGCTTTTTAAATTGTTGAAATTGGTATTCATGACCAATTCTAAATAACTTATATTCAATTCAGGAGTCTTCCTCTCTCTATTCAATGGGTGCATTGAGGAAAAAACTTTCCTCTATTCACATATCTAACATTCTGACACGTGGCAATGGTGCCACCACTGCCTTGGGGTTCTAAAATCACGTCCTGCACGTAGATTTGTCTGCAAGGAACGGTTCTGCTGCAGTCAAATTTGATGGCCACTTCTGAGGCACTTGTTCCTCTGATGTTTTGGTATAACACATTGCTTAATTGCACACCTGAGTCCTGCATGTCGTTGCAACAAACATGGTTATAATTTAACATTTTGATTTTGATGGACATGAAAGTTGAAAACTTGGTTACCTGTTCTTGACATGGCTCTGCTCTATCACAGTAGTATTGATCTATGATTATGGGATTTGTCACGTTTTGCATCGCTATATTCAAAAATTTGATGTTTCTTGCGTAACCAGAACCTCCCTGTGTTGAGACAAAATCAAAAGATATGAGAATGAAAATGGAATTCTTTTTTGATGTTTTTGACATTATTGATTATATTATAGAAAAAAAAATGACTTTTGTCTCATTGTGTCCATGTTATCTCTATTTATCAACAGGGAGTGTGATCAACATTAATCATATTTCCACACCCATTAATTGGGTGAGTTGACAATAAAATAAGAGGAAAAATATTTAAAGAAATAAACTATTTATATAAAACTTGTGACAGGGCTTGTTGGGTGGTTAAGGAAGATAAGAACCAACAAAGTGGAAAATTGTCAACCTTGATGCACTATTTTCCTCACCCACGTTCCAATTCTTGCATCATTCGTCAACTTCCCAATGTTTCTCTTATCGGTTTTACGCCTAAATTTTGGCAATTTGTGTTCATAGTGTGAATTTTAACCACCCCAAAAGGCCTTGAATTTAGGTAAAGCCAGAACAAAAATTAGACGACAAAAGTTGAAAATTTGAAATTCCTCTTTTTTCAAATTTTATTCTAATTTTCTAAACCTCTAATATCTTTGCTTTCAACTTTCTCAGAAGTTGTGAAATGCCTAACAGCCTAAATTTCAAAAGCTGAAGACCAACCCGTACCTGCCAAGTCTTGATTCTCACTCCATTAGTCGTTCCTATTAAGGTTGCCCTGTTCACTACCACATTGGACACTTCAGCTTCTGAGTTATCAGCTCCCAAGCTTCCGATGCTACAAAACATTTTTTGTAACAATTTTAATCAACCAATGTAAAATTGATCCAAATTCCAAACATAATTTCAACTTGTATGTGGTGTAACATATTCATGTAATCATTGTTATAACCTTATTCCATGTCCAGGTCCGCAGGTGATATCTGTGGCTCGAACGTTTTGGGACCCACTTATTATTGAAATACAATCATCACCTTCAATAAACAAAATTGCAAAAAATTAGAACTTTCGACCAATTGTTTTTTTTTTTTTTTTTTTTT